ATTTGTGGGGACATTTAAAATCTATTGTACACGCAACATCGATTGAACATGCTGAAATACTACGAAATAGAATAGAGCAAGGCTTCCGACAAATTCGAGAAACACCAGGAACGATAGAGAGAGTAGCCGGATGAATGACAAGAATGACGCGTGCAGGCTAGTCATTTCGAGCATCTTTCGTAAAAGTAATTAAAACAGAAAATTCATTATATCTCATAAACGAAGACAGATAGGACATATATTTGTACGACTTTTTTTCATTATTTTTTTAGACGTGCAATCAGCTGCTAAAGTGGATCCCACAAGTGACGAAACACCCTGTATATATTAAAAAGTTTGAAAACTTCAAGATCACAAAAGAGAACACAATAGCTGAATGCTGCTGCTGAACAGCGCACAGTGTAATAACGCAACAGTGATTTTAATTTTAATTCTCTTAAAACAGTTTAGATACAAGGATTTCCCTTTTGCGCCACCCAACGTTCTAACTATGTTTCCTTCTGTAATATACTAATCTCTCTTCCCAGCAGCATTTTTACGAAAATTTCTAACTTGGGACATAATCTCTAACCCTTTTTTTCGTTAAACAAATGAATTACGTAATCACGATTATCCGACGAATGCGACCGAAACTGTCGACGAGACTCGTCGTGAGAGACAGTTCCGACGTTTTTTCCGAGGGCAACGTCGCGGGATCTGCATCGTTCGTCTCTTCGTATTTTCACCGACGACGATAGAGAGAGCTTTTTCGATGGGCGGAGGGGAAGAGAGAAGGAAGAGAAGCTTCGTGACAGCGACGTCTATGCTCGTCTTATTCCCCCCTCTGCATGGATTCTTTCGTTCACGTGCATGGAGAATCGCGGGGAAAGTTCGGTTGATGTATTGCCGGATAAGCGAATCGGTCAGCTCGCGAACGGCGCGTGGCGTTCCTCCTCTTTTCGGCCGTTTCTCTGTCAGCTCGCGACGTAAAATCGTTAAGTGGGTCGACGAAGGAAGTTCCGTGTATCCGCGTGTTCGCTTTTGAACCGCGAATGAAATTCGTGACAACTCTCTCTCTCTCTCTCTCTTTCTCTCTCTCTACGTACGTCTGCCATCGAAGGGTAATTGTTGTTACGCTTTTCTTTTGGAAGAAAAAGACAAATGCCTCGAGTCACGTGTCTTTTGTATCAAGTTGCTCGGGAAGTAATGTAATTTCGTTTTCTCCCGAGTTTATGGAGGTTTTACCTTCCTCAAATGAACATATCACGAGATTTAACACAGTAGCTATTTATTTT